AGCACACTTCGCTTTTCAGACCGATGAGCTTTGCAAAAATCGACGCGTTTCAGAAAGTCAGGGCATAGAGGAGAAACAATAATGTACAGTATGTGGAAAATAATGTTTTTTGAACCTTAAACCGCATAAACACATTTCATTACACCAAATACACAAAATAATGTTATTTTTAGCAACATCATATGACCCCTTTAAAAAGCAATTTGCTTTATACAATTACAGCAAAATCAGAGTACAGGCAGTTTTAGCTTGAAATGAAAAAGAACATAATCAATCATTATGAATTACAAAATTATAATAGCCTATTTGAAAAGTTTTGTTAGCTGATGCTAACTGGCTTGCTAACTGATGCTAACTTGAGGTAATTGTTTTATATATAAAGTCCAAATATTTGTATTGAACCAACTAATACATTTGATGGAAAAACAAAGGATTTGACGTTCAGAATAAAGTAGCTACAGCAAGTAAGCCGTGCTCCCTGGGGGCGTTTTACCCCACAGACTATGTTTGAAAAAAAAATTGTCATTCTGAAAATATAAATTATATTTCTCTTAAATAACACACGCTCCCTATCTACAGGCCCTACTGTTCTCATATCATATATAACTGTGATGTTCTACAACAGGGGTTCTCAAACCTGTCCTGGAGTACCCCCAGCCCTGCACATTTTGTATGTCTCCCTCATCTATCACACCTGATTCAACTCATCAGCTCATTAGTGGAGACTGCAAGACCTGAAGTGGGTGTGTCAGATATAGGGAGACATACAAAACGTGCAGTGCTGGGGGTACTTCATTGACAGGTTTGAGAACCCCTGTTCTACAAAACAACAGGCTTTAAAACACTTTTTTTCTTACTGCTGAAAATGTGATCGTTTACTGTGAAATCCGTTTTCTCTCAGATACATCACCAGTGTACGCTTCATGGTGAATACTTCTACATCACTCTTGTCAACGTAATGTTACAAAAATAATTTATCTTGACTCTATCTTGTGATTATTTTGGGGAAAACAGTAGGGGTGCATTTTACCCCACTATACCCTATCATGCACAAAAAATTTGATATATTTTTTTTTTAATTATTATATAGACAACTGATTTATGCCATGTTAAATTATATAAATAAATGACAACTGCAGTTATGCCTTCATTTCCTCCTGCCAAAACAAAAAAAAGTGCACTTAGTGCACTTCCAGGGAAACATCAGTGTCAGTGAAGATCTTGAAAAAAACATGTGGAAAACAAAGAAAAATCAAGGTAAGCAGAATATTTTCCTATCAAATATTTTCCAATGGAATTGAAAAAATGTAATATCACAATTTTAATCAATATTTTGTTGCATAACAAACATCAACACAAGTTTACTCTTTTTTTCTTATTCATGTTCTTGTGTGTAGGCCTACTTGTGCCAGATTTTTGGGTTTCTTGCCCTGTGAAGGAGTAAATGTGGGCTACACATCAGCTGTATAGGAAACCGGGACTAGACGAATGTCTCGCCAAGATCAAATAACTAACATTTATTAATTCGGCAGATGATTTTATGCAAAACAACTTACACGGAATAGTACAACACAAGCATTTACTCATTCAAATAAAGTTTGTTCATCTTCTCGTGTCCCAAACTGAGACCAATAAGTTAACCTGATGTTCACAACTCACTTTATTATTCAAAAGTACAGGACACATATTTGAAATTTCAAAGGTAAGGCAATTAAATCGTTAACTTCGTTATTATTTATTAGTAATTCTCGGTGTATAATACCGCCCCCCTGTGGCTTTAAATATTAAATAAATGAAACGGTGGAAAAAACCCTCACTCACATGTGGTTACAATGGACTTTCTCATGGCACTTTGTGAACAATGTAAAGCGTAGGTATGAGACAAATCAAAATACTGTACGATACAATCCAGATTTACATTTCACATCAATCTCTAAGTCATACAGTGAGTGTGACAGGTATGAAAGTGTGACATGCTTGTACGCGAAGCAAAAAGAAACCCATATTACCTCATAATCAGGCCTGACTGGGTCAAGCTGTGTTATGATTGTTTTCAAGTCAATATATACTGATTGTAAACATAATACTTAACATAAGCTGATATTATGACTCTGCAAGACACTCAAATATACATAAAGAACTTTAAAAAAACAACACTACAGACACAAGCTCACGGCCCGAGCACATTTGCGTGGCATATAATGTAATTCAATACTAATATATTTTATACTGTGTGTAGATAGAGGCTGTAACCATTAGAGAAGAAACCCGGAAACCACATTACACAAACCTGGAATAAGCAGACACACCTGGGTACTGTACACACCTGGATTAATACAGTTTATAAAGCAGAAACGTATTACTCTGATGCACCTCAGCAGTATTTGGCTGTATATTCCTGACTATAAAGCGAACAGGGGTCTGGGGAATCAGACACATCAAAAAGCACGTTTCATTCACACGCGTATTTGTGTAGGAATAGCTGTCGTCTGGAGATGGAGACGTGGAGCTGGTCACATGAGGCCGCCGCAGCAGTTGGACTTCTGCTTCTGTGACTCGATGTAATCATGGATCTTGAACTTGGGCTCGTGGGGCTGCTGGATGTTTCTGTGCTTGAGTTCTCTGTGTGGAAATAAAAGAGAAAACATATTCATCAGTTTCAGTGTAATAAATAGAAAGAGAAGTTCAAGGCAAACTTTGAATGATGGTTTGACAAAGCCTTAAAAAACCTTGATGCTCTTAGGTTTGAATAAACTTGTGAAAACAAACTACGCTTAATTGTACTGTATAGAGTGTATTAAAAGATAGACACTTATGACTGTTTATTACTGTTTAATAGTGACGTGTGTAAAATTCACTAAATGTTTATATTAAAAAAATCCTCAAACCTTGCTATGGCTTGGAAAGCGAGTTCCACATTGACACCGGTCTTGGCACTGGTCTCCATGAAAGGGACTCCATATTCCTTCAATAAAGGAAAAGCAGAGTATTGCAGTTAAATAACCTGCGATGTTTACTGATCATTTGTAATAGCAGGTACATGGACATGTTAAATTAATTTACACTCATACCTTAGCCAGCTTCTCCCCTTCTTCATGTGTGATCACCCTCTCAGCGGCCATGTCTGACTGTACGAACACAATTACACATTAATATAAAACAGCAATGCATTTGTGTTTTTGGAGGACATTGTCTTAACTAAAGCGAAACTACCCTCAAATACAGTACATGTCCTGCTCTATTTAATTAACCAATAAGAGTGAGAATAGAGGTCCAGTGGATGAGGCACTATCTTTTATCAGCTGTTGTGATTTTATTAAACATTCGGAGTTAAGCCTGATATATGGCAGTCTAAAAAATCTTTTTTTATATATATTTTTTAAATGGAACAATTTATTAAACGTTTAGACAAAAAAAAGTTTGCAAATGTGTTTCATGTTTTATATCATATTTGATACATTTTACAACTCATATAGTATGTTATAGGAGAATATGGTGCTCATATCATGCTAAAAATCTAATCTCATCAGAGGCCCAAACTGAGCAGAAGTACACAATTCGGTGCAGCAAGAAAAATGCGATTCTGACAGCTTGTAATGTAAATCAATGAGATCTTTATAACGTGGAATGCTGGCCTAGTTTACTTTCACTGTAAATGCATTACTGTAAACACTAGGGGAAGAGCTGAAATATTCTCTGTGGTAACTGCATAATGACACAAATGCTGATAAAGCTCATTCCAATAAAACCTACTGCATCATATTTGATATGCAAATACCTAAGTGCTCTAAATTAACCATTTTTAAAGTATAAGTACAATGTAAAAACATCTACACAATAAGTGCACTGTACCAAAAGATTAATTTAAGTGCAAGTACATAGTAGTTAAGGCCACCTAATATAAAGTGGGACCGAGTTTTTTTTTTCTCTTCGAGTTTGAGCACCATATTTTCACTATATCATACCATATGAGCAGTCAAACCCTGATGTAACAAATATGATTTTATTTTTCGTTACACTTTATTTTAGGATGTCCTTGTTACAGTGTAATTATACATTTAAGTACTAAGTTATATTGATTAACTACATGTACTTACTATATGGTTATGGTTAGGATTAGGGTTTGGCTTAGGGTTACTTGCATGTAATTATGCATAATTCATTGTTATTATAATATTAAGTACATGTAATGTGTAACAAGGAGGCTTTCTGGCTCCATTAGCTCCTTTAGGGGGCGCTATCTAATCCAGTGCAAAATCAGTTAGAGCAGTTACACCAGAACACACCCTAACCACACATCAAGAGATAAAAGACGACCAAAGGTGGTAAAAATGCTTGCGTCTAAAATGAATTACTGCCTGAAATGACACACTGACACACAAAAGGTAGAGAAGCATAAAGGAGATATTTAAAAAAAAATTCTTTGTAGCTCTCTGTGTGTGTGTGTGTGTGTGTGTCTCTGCATGTACATTAAAACATTATTTGCACCTTTCAAGAGGGGCTGCTTATTTCTGTTCACTTCTTTCAGGAAGTCCCACTTACCTTGTTGCCAAGCAACATGATGACCACATCCTTCTGTGCATACTCATAGATTTCAGTCAGCCAGGCCTGCGTAGAGATAGACATGCAAAAAAAAAAAAATTACTTTGAAGGACAAGAAATGCATCTGCAGTAGAAATGCATGTCATTTCACAACGCAGTGTTTAAAGTTCATTGCAGTGATCTCCCACAGAGACTCAAACTGAATGAAATGCTCTACTGAGAAACCGTTTCTACACTATGATATATATGGTATATATTCATATTTGCCTATTTAAATCCAGATGGCGACACACACACACATATACATATATATATATATATATATATATATGATAGATTCTATTTACACTATTTCAAAGTAGCAGGATTTTCTGCTATTTATACTACTTATTGCAAATAGTGGCAATTATCTGCACCTCAGTATTGTAGTACATTATAAAACAGTATGCAATAATAACGTATTGAGTGTAAACTATAATTTTAATCTCATAAACAATAAAGCCCTCCCTAACCTACTCGATACTTTTCTTTTCGATTATTTCCTTCATTTTTATTGAAAAAAAATGCCTTTCTGATGTGATATGAGATTTCAAAAGGGAGGAAAAAAGTTTGACAAAAGGCGGATTCGAACTTGGGTCGATTGCGTCAAAAAGACTATGACATGCACTTTACCATCTACACCACTGGAGGTGTTGTTTGACAATTGTCTTTTGTAATGTCTAGCCAATCACACGTTGGTGGGCGGAGCTATAGTGTAAATAGCCTCCGAGATATAGATATTTATATACACATTTAAACACACACATTTACATATATACAGTATCTCACAGAAGTGAGTACACCCCTCACATTTTTGTATATATTTTATTATATCTTTTCACGTGACAACACTGAAGAAATGACACTTTGCTGCAATGTAAAGTAGTGAGTGTACAGCTTGTATAACAGTGTAAATTTGCTGTCCCCTCAAAATAACTCAACACACAGCCATTAATGTCTAAACCACTGGCCACAAAAGTGAGT